AGGCTTGTGGGTTGAACATGTTAACCCAGCCCCTTGGAGCAGTCTGCCTTGTAGACTCAGTTTTTTTTTTTTTTTGTACTGGGATCAAACTCGGGACCTTGTGCTTGTGAGGCAGGTGGCAGAACCACTAAGCTAAATCCCCAGCGAAGACAGTATTCTTGCTGCCAGGGACAGGGGTAAAACATTTTTTCCTTCTTAGGAGAATCAGTAATTCATGTTTTTGAGTTTAGAAAACTGTTGAAGTAGTAGACAGTGTATCACTTTTTTGCTTAAAAAAGAAAAACCAAAAAAACCACACAAGGATCTGACCTGAGTTCGACCTCCAGTACCAAAAAACAAACAAACAAACAAAACCTCCAAAAAACTACTACATATTAGGTAAATGTGGTGGCACACGCCTGTAATCCTAGCACTAAAGAGGCTGAGGCAGGAAGACTGCTGAGAGTTTAAGGCCAGCCTAGGCTACGTGAGTTCAAGACCAGTCTAAACTACAAAGTGAGACCCTGTCATAAAACCTACATATCTTTGGTAATATCCATGAGATCTTTTCCTTCCTCTATTTTCCCATGTGTGTGTGTGTGTGTGTGTGTGTGTGTGTGTGTGTGTGTGTGTTTATAACAGGGTACTGGGGGTTGAACCAAGGGTCTCACTATGTAGTTGAGACAGACCTCTTGGGGCATGTTAGGCAGTGCTTTACCACTGAGCTACCCTCCCCCCAATGTTTTAAAAATTTTGAGACAGAATCTCTCTAAGTTTTTTAGGCTGACCTTTTGCTATGTTCCTTCTGCCTCAGCCTCCTGAATAGCTGGAATTATAGGTGTGTGCCACCGAGCCCAGCTTGGATTTGTAATGTTTATTTTTTGGTACCAGGGATCAAACTAGATTTTGAACTTGCAAGTCAAACATGGTGCCCCTGAACTAAATCCCCAGCCCCAGCCCCACCCCTTCTTGAGACATGTCTTACTTTGCAGTTCTGGCTGGCTCCAAACTCACTATGTAGCCCATACTGGCCTCAAACTCATGGTGATCCTTGTGCCTTAACCTCCTGAGTGCTGAGATTACAGGTGTGCACCACCACACCCAGCTCAATTTAGATTTTAAAAAAAAGTTTAACAAGTATACATTGAGCACCTAGTATTTTCCAGGTCTTAGAGCTACTACAGTGGAAAAGACAGCTGTGACCTTGCCCCTGGGTCCAGAGTTGAGCTTCTCACGGTTCTCACGGGCTAGAAAAAGAGAATTAGGAGCTGGCACGTAGAAATAAGAGTGTGTGTGTGTGCGTGTGTGTGTGTGTGTGTGTGCGCGCGTGTGTTGGGGGGTGTCCTTAAGGAGAGAGGGAACAAATAAAGTCCTGAACAGAAAAAGAAAATACCAAAGTGAGCACCAATAGAAGCCAGCTTTTGCTCCATCTTTTTTTTGTTGTTGTTTTTTGAGATAGGGTCTCACTGTGTAGTTGAGACTGACCTGGAACTCACTTTGTAGCCCAGGCTGGTCTCGAACTCCCAGTGATCCTCCTGCCTCAGCCTCCTGAGTGCTGGGATCACAGGCATGCACTGCCACACCTGGTTTGTATTTTTTAAGAGAAGCAAAAAAGTTTTGTTGCTTAAGCAAGACTACATTTTCACAGAGTGAGCAATTATTATCAAATAAAGCATAGCTAGCAATCAGATTAATCACACAATCACTTATGCAGCATGATAATTAGGTGCAAATGGCAAAAAGCTTACCTAAGTCACTGCCATTGGTAACCTGTGCACCCAGTCATCCTTGTTCCGTTTTTGCAATACTTAACCTGCTAATGGCCCAGAGCCTACAGCCTTTAGGTGCCTCGCTATATCTTTAGTATGGCCGTACTGTCTAAAGGGTCTGGGACTTTTGTTTTGTTTTTTGGTAAATGGAGATCGAACTCAGGTCCTTGTGCTTGCAAGGCAGGCACTGGAATCACTAAGCTAAATCCCCAGCCCCTGGGAGGGACTTTTTACTGTACCCATTCTTCTGAGCGTCCCAGCATCCTCTTGTCTCTGCTTCCTGAGTACTGAGTGGCCATAGTTATATCTTGGCTCTCAGGGTCTGTAGCATTTTGTTGTCTTTTAACTGAATATTGAACCCAAGGAGGGCTACATTCCAGCCCTTCTTAAAAATTTTATTTTGAGACAGGGTCTGGCTGAGTTTCCCAGGCTTGAATCTGTGGCTCTGCTGCCTCGGCTTCCAGCGTACCTGGAATTAAAGGTGTGTAACACCATGTCCAAGCACAGCTATTATTTCATAAATTCTGAAAATCAAGGTCAGTTATGGACAGATCCTTAGAACGCTTATGTGAAGCTTACCCTGCAGGTGGCAAAATCTTGGCTTAGCTCCTTGGTAAGAGCCTCATACAATCCTTGTGAGCCATCCCATTTCTGTTTTTTTTTCATATTACTCCCTCAATCTGCCTGTCCTTCTTCCTCTCCCTACCTTTCCCTCCAACCCTGAATCCTTTTGTTGTGAGGTTCCTTCTCCAGGAAGCATCTCTGCGTACCATTCTCTAGGTGATCACCACCAGACTTTTCATTCTTGTGGACTAGTCTGTGCACTATACAGTGCATCAGCATTATACAGAAGAGAAGAAAGTATATCTGCTGTAGAGTCAAGAAATGGTTCTTTTTTTTTTTTTTATACTGGGGATCAAACTCAGGACCTGTGCTTGTGGGGCAAGTGCAGTGCCACTGAGCTAAATCTCCAGCCCCTGGTCCCATTTTTTATTTCACTATTTATTTAATTTTTTGGTGCTGGGGATTGAGCCTCAGGACCTTGCATGAGCTAGGCATATAATCTACCACTTATCTAAATCTGCAATCCTTTCTATTTATTTTTTTAGCATTCTTGGACATCCCTAAACTTCAATCAAAATGCAAATATTAGGGACTGTGGGTGTAGCTCAGTGGTACAGCACTTTCCTGTTATGCATGAGGCCCCAGCACCATATACATAAACCAAAATGAGTAACATTTGTTGAATGCTTACCACATAACAAGCATTGTGCTCTGCAGTTTTCATTTAACTCCCTATAATTAATCCCACTGTATAGATGGTGAATCTGAAGATGAGAGAAGGTTCTAAAAGACTGTGCTGTGCAAATCACATACTATAATGTCCCAAAAAGAGAAGAAAGAAAATATAAGTAGGTATTTAGAGAAATCTCAGAGAGGACATATACCAGTACATTAACCTGTGGGTGAGACAGATTTTTTTCTTCTTCTTATTTCCTTTCAAGGGCTATTTCTTACACTTGTTTGTCCCCTTTGACACCTGTTTGAGGGGAGAGCACGTAGAAAATGCTCAGTAAATAAGTACTGATTGAGGTAGAAAATGAAGGCTTCCTTTTTCCTTGGCCCAGTTTGATTTGACATGGCCCCAATATTGGTAGTTTTGTCTTTGTGAGTGACTTTATTATTTGTTGGTGCTGTTGTGCTTCTGTTCATCTGGAAAGTTCCCCAAGTGAATTGCCCCTTACACTGGCAGAGTGGAAGCCTCCAGGGATGGAAGATGAGCTTGTCGTGTTGTGGGACTATATTTCCCTAGCTGACGAAGGTTCAGCCCTTGTAGCTGGTGATGGGAATTGGTTGGCCAACTTATTATTTCTTGTAGCCCAGCAGAATTCTGAGTTGGCTAGCAACAGCCTGCTTGCTAGGTGACTCACACAGCTGATGCAGACTTGTTGGGTATCTTTGAAGCTGTTGTGTTCTGTTGCACAGTGCTGGGCACAGCCTTATCTAACTAAATTCCATCCAGTATTCTGCTCCCACTGCTTTCTGTACAGGGTACAGTCACCAGCAGGTAGGTTGTGCTGGCCTCAGGTATACTTGGGGTGTTGTGGAAGCCTGGCATTGCTTACCAAGCAGAGAGCTGTTGTTTTCTATGATGTTTTCTCTTCTCCTAACCCCACCCCCATGTTATGGATTGAACCTAGGGTCTTCATACTGAACTACATCTTCAGCTCCTTTTTAGGTTTTGAGTTGCTAAATTGCTAAATTGCACAGGCTGCATTTGAAGTTACAATTCTCTTGCCTCAATCCCTTAGAGTACTGGATTTCAGGTGTGTGCCACAGTGCCCAACTTGGTATTTTCTTTTTTATATTTTTTTGTAGCTTTTTTTTTTTTTTTTTTTTTTTTGTCCCAGGGATCGAACTCAGGTCCTTGCGCTTGTAAGGCAGGCAGTGGAACTGCTGAGCTAAATCCCTGGACCAAAATGCCATTTTTAGAGACCCCCTTTTTTTTTTTTTTTCTTTCTTTGGTACTAGGGATTGAACTCCTTGGGTCCTTGCGCTTACAAAGCAGGTGCTAGAACCACTGAGCTAAATCCCCAGCTGTAGCTTTTCACTTAATTATTTATTTTTATTTTTGTTTTTTGAGATAGGGTTTCACTATGTTCATGCTAGCCTTGAACCCACTACATAGTTTAGGCTGGCCTCAAACTTGCTGCAACCCTCCTGCCTTAGCCTCTAGAGTGCTGGGATTACAGGTGTGCACCACCACACCCAGCTGTTAGCTTTTTATTGTGATATAGTTTCAGATATACAGAAGAGTTGTTAAGAATAGCACAAATAACTTTTGTATACCTTTTACCAAGATTCACTGTCAGCATTTTGCTTTATCTGATTTCTTTCTTGTGAATCCTCCCCATGCTCCTCCCTCCCCTTGTACAAAGGTATATGTTGACACCCCCTTTTGAACTGTCTGGCAGTTAATTGCAGACAGTACGCCCCTTTGCTTGTGAATGTTTCAATGTGTATTTCCTAAGTTCAACATCAATATAGCACTGTTAACCTTGTCCACTGTCCATATTCAGACTGTCCACTTTACATTATGGTCCCAGTAATGGCAGTTTTATTGTAATGAAATCCACCCTGTGATGCAGAGGTGTCTCTTTGGGTATGTTTCCTCAGAGGAGAGCAGAGTGGGCAGGCATTTGCAGAGGTGACTGCTAGGATGTTAATCACCATTTCCTTCTATCTCTGCAGAACCAGAGTAAGGGTAGCAAGGACCACTTGGCAACAATGTCAGCGGAAATAGAGGCTTCTGAAGGGGTAGATGATTCGGAGAGAAAGAACCCTGTGCCCCAAGAAAAGGAAAACCATATTAGGTGAGTGATAGAGGCTGGCTACATCAAATCAGGGGGTCCAGCAACTGCTATGCACAACACAACTGGTTTTGTTTGCTGTTAGCACCAGGAGGTGGTCATGGTTCCTGAGCCATGGACCCTAGGATGCCTGGTTGATACTGCACAGCCCATGTGTAGCCCTCTGGATTACTCAGCACTCTCATTTGCTCTGTTATCCAAGGAAGCAGAGTAGGTGCTGCTGGGAATTCTGGGAGAGGTGTTGGTTTGTTTGTTTGTGTTTGTTTCTTTGGTACCAGGGATTAAACTCAGGCCCTTGCGCTTGTGAGGCAGGGGGCAGAACCACTGAGCCAAATCCTTTTGATGTTTTTTTTTTCTTAAAAACCTAAGTGTTTTTTCATTAAGAAATGGTAATCAGGCTCCCTCTCCTTTGTTCGGAGACAGTCCTACAGTAAAGGCTTGTAGTGCTTCTGGGGGGGAAAAAAAATGGTAATCACACGCCTTTCTCAGTGGCTCCTTTCACAGTGTCTTCCTCTCCTTAAAATGGGGACTACTTCAGGGCAGGCTTTGTTATTGTCAAGACCACTTCTCTGTAAGTCTTATATTACTGGGCCCTACTCTGCATTATTCTTAGCCTCTCATTAGAGCCCTGTATTACAACCAGTGCCTTGGTTCCTTTTTATAGTTTAAAATAGTTTCTAATACAAACCGGTTCTCAGCATGAAGGTGAAACAAGCTAACCTCATAAGACAGCCAGCAGAGACTGTGCTGAGAGGGCCAAATTGTTTTTACTCTAATAGTCTGTGTATACATCTAAGTCCAGCCCAGGTGCCATCATCTTTAGGATCACACATTATCTGCCTTGTCAATCTGTTAGTACAACTTTTTCCTGTGATTTTGTTAAATAATAGAAACCCAAAGTCCTGACCAACTTTTCTTTTTTTGGTATCGGGGATTGAACTAGGGACTTTGTGCTTGTGGAACCACTGAGCTAAACCCCAGCTGTTGACTCCCAACTTCTTACTGTTTCCTTCTCATCCTCCTACTCCTGGGGCCAGATACATGTAGTCCTGAAGACTAGACAGCCCCACAGTGAGGAATGGAGCAGGACTGCCCCAGAAGGTCCACACTGTCACAGCCCTTACAGCAGCATGGTATGGACTCTGGGAGACACTTTATGTGTGTGTGGTACCAGGGATTGAACTCAGAACCTTGAGCTTGCAAGGCAAGCACTGTGCCACTGAGCTAAATCCCCTCTCTGCTCTGGGAGACAAATTTTCAAAGGCGAGATGAAAGGAGAAGCCAGAAGGTACTGGTGGGATTAGACGTATGTGTTTATTCTGCCAGTAGGTGGCCATAGAAGCAAAGTTTCATTCAAAGGGGTGGTTCCTACATGGATGGACACATGACATACTTCGAGGAGGCCATATATTTGCACGTCATCTGAGACTTTTGGGTAGACTGACAGGTCTGCTTGTCCTGTATTCCCTAACAAGGTCCAACTGTTCATGCTAGAGGGAAGTGTTTGTTTGTTTTTGGTACTGGGGATTGAACTCTGGCCCTTGCACTTGTGAGGCAGGCAACAGAACCACTGAACCAAATCCCCAGCCCTAGAGGGAAGTGTTTGTTTTTGGTACTGGGGATTGAACTCTGGCCCTTGCACTTGTGAGGCAGGCAACAGAACCACTGAACCAAATCCCCAGCCCTAGAGGGAAGTGTTTACATAGCCCTGCCTCCAGTCCAGCAAGTGGTCATCCTGGGATCTGGGCTCTCTTTTGTTCTGTAGTCCTTTCTAGGGAGCTGGGAAGGGATAACACACACACACACACGCACACACGCACACACACATACGTGCATGCATGCACATCCCATCTCCACAGAATGCCTGACCTCTCCGAGCTCCTGAAGGAAGGGACCAAGGAAGCACATGACCGGGCAGAAAACACCCAGTTTGTGAAGGACTTCTTGAAAGGCAACATTAAGAAGGAGCTATTTAAGGTTTGTGTCAGTCAAAGTTGGATTTCAGACTTTGAAATGGGTCAGGGTGGGAGCCTTAGTCCCTGAGGAAGGTGCCCCTGGAGCTGTTCTGAAGGAGAAGCTTGGCTTTTATGTTCACTCATTTTTGGCATTAAGCTCTGGCTCTCGTGGCTTTAACAAAATTGTATATAGTAATATAAAGGAAGCAAAAATATGCCGTGTTCTGAAAAATGCACTCTTATCATTCCTTCCAGAAACAAAGCTTCCTGGCTATTTACTATATAAAAATGGGTCACAGGTTGGGTCTTTGGGGAGTAGAAGGGGGTGCTAGTTGAGGTTTGGTTTCCAGCCACTCTTGATGTGGTTGATTTTAAAGTTGTCCTTTTCCACCATCACCTTCTGTCACTCCCATAGCTGGCCACAACTGCACTTTACTTCACATATTCAGCTCTTGAGGAGGAAATGGACCACAACAGGGACCACCCAGCCTTCGCCCCCTTGTACTTCCCCATGGAACTGCACCGTAAGGAAGCACTGACAAAAGACATGGAATATTTCTTTGGTGAAAACTGGGAGGAGCAGGTGATGTGCTCTGAGGCTACCCAGAATTATGTGGAGCGGATCCACTATGTGGGGCAAAATGAGCCAGAGTTGCTTGTGGCCCATGCGTATACCCGCTATATGGGGGACCTTTCAGGAGGACAGGTGCTGAAAAAAGTGGCCCAGCGGGCCCTGAAGCTCCCCAGCACAGGAGAAGGGACACAGTTCTACCATTTTGAGAATGTGGACAATGCCCAGCAGTTCAAACAGTTCTACCGGGCTAGGATGAATGCCTTGGATCTGAGCCTGAAGACCAAAGAGAGGATCGTGGAGGAAGCTAACAAGGCCTTTGAGTACAACATGCAGGTACTGCTGGGTGCTGACCACAAAGCCAGCTCCATGGGGCTCCAGGGAACCTTTTATGGGGGAACACATCCAGAACTTCCTGGGAGGGCATCAGTGGCATGAGGACAGATGAACTGCAGCATGTCCTACATAAAGGTGAGGGAACCAAATCGGCATGGAAGTTTGTGGGCACAGTGGATAGAATGGAAGAGGTCCGTCGGTAGAATTTTGGCAAGGGAGAGGCCCCACCAGATCTGAGAAAGGAGCTGTCTCCCTCCCTCCCATCACACAATGCTGGTATCAAATTTTCTCTTTTTAGAAAGGACTGTTACACAGTCTTGCTGGGTAGGTTCAGCTAGAGCACATTCATCAAGGAAAGTAAAAAGAATAGCTATTTACAACTAGCCTTTAGTTGGAGGTGAGCTTGAGGCTGATTCGGTCCCCTAAGCATCATGTCAGCCCTCAGGGCCAGAGAAAGGAATTGTGGGCAAGTGAGATGCGAGGGTGACCACAGTTCCCATCAACCCTTCAGTGTACCTTCCCAGGGCCACCTAGGATGGATTGCCCTGCTATGGCATTTTCTCCCACATTCTCATTTCTTTCGTGTTCTTTGCTAAGAAATAGCCAGCAGTTAGAAATGAGGTACCAGTGGCTCCTCCACACCTGATAGTTTAAATTGTTTGAGCCCCCTCAGAGTTATGTGGCATGGAGTATGTGCCTTGTTGAGTACCCAAGGAAAACCCACCACACTGGCTTTCAGCCTGTGGGTAGTAGCAGCATAGATATGGCTGTATCTCAATTCCTGCCAGGGAAAAGTGCACAGTGTGCTGTCTCCCATGGCGCTGCTTGCTTGGTTAGTGAGCACCCCTGTACAAGTGCACCTGCTCTAGCTCCATGAGAGCGGGGGTAGGGTGGGTATCTACTGTGAAAGCCGTCTCTGCAGACCAGGGATGGCTGTTGATCTCTGCTTCTCAGATATTCGATGAACTGGACCAGGCTAGCTCTGCGCTAGCCAGAGACACCGTGGAGGATGGGTTCCCTGTGCATGATGGGAAGGGAGACATTCGTAAATGCCCCTTCTATACTGGTCAGCAAGACACAGGTAGGTTGTGGGTTCTAAGCTCCCCTCCTGGGGTGGGCATGTCATCAGCCCTCACCGCTAACCATGTCTTCTGTTGTACTTCATACAGGTGCCCTGGAGGGCAACAGCTGCCCCTTCCAGACAGCCATGACTGTGCTCAGGAAGCCCAGCCTCCAGTTAATTCTGGCCACCAGTGTGGCCTTGGCTGCTGGACTCTTGGCCTGGTACTACATGTGAAGGACCTGTTATGAAGGACCTGTTATGCCACGTGGCACCCTCCTCCCATGGCAGCCCCTATCTCCACTTCTTGACTATCACCTCAGGTGACTTTAAAATGCTGGGTTTGAGAAAACAGGCAACCAATAAAGGCCAGATGCTAGAGCCTCTGCCTAATGGCATCTTTTCTGCAGGCCAAATGCAGGGTAGGGCAGGGCTGGCCTGAGCCTCTGAATCAGCTCTGTTCCAAAGCTCTTGAAACTCTTGGGCCTCAGACACATTCTCTACGTTCTTGACTTCACAGTATGTGGGGAGCTATCCTTGTCCTGTTGGGCGTGAACAGCCAGCATGCAGAGGTTTGAGGGTTGGGGTTATCTTGCCAAATGATACTGCTCAATTTCTGGGCCTCTTAGGAACTTGGAGGCGGGCAGAAGCCAGGCTCCTCTACCTATGAGATCCTAGAAATTCATCCCTCTTAACTGGGACCCTCAAGAGATCTACTAACCTGGGCTGTCTTCTCCTGACCTGTATAAATGCTACAACACTCAATAAAATGGTCTTTGCTCGTGTTCTCCCTTTTTTTTTTTTTTTTTTTTTTTTTTTTTGGAGACAGGGTCTCACTATGTAGTTGAGGCTGGCCTCAAAACTTTCAGCAAATCCTCCTGCCTCGGCCTCCTAAGTGCTGGGATTGCAGGCATGTGCCACCATGCCCTACCTTCCTCTTCAGATAGGGTGGGTTAAGCCTAGTAGTGGACCCCAATATCCTATAAGGAAGGAGACTTCCCTCAGAAGAGTGACATGTATCCATGTGAAGTGGCATCTTATCTGACAGCTCCACAAAGCCCCCTTTTTTCCTCAAGTGCTGCTCCATCTCCCAGCACCCCATCACCAAAACAGTATATATATATATTTTTAGTACCAGGGATCAAACTCTGGACCTTGCACTTGCAAGGCAGGTGGTGGAACCACTGAGCTAAATCGCCAGCCGCTAAAACACTCTGAATACCTTTATCACAAAGAAATGATTATCTCTGGACCTGTAAATTTTCTACTCACTGGTACTTTGGAGGTTTCCTACTTGGAAAGCATGGGTCTGTCTGTATTTAAACAATTCATCTAAAGTAGAAATGTGAAGTTAAATATTTTTATTGATAGGATCTATTACTGTAGAAGGATTAAATAGTGAGGAAATACTTAAACTACAGATTGAGCTCACCACTTTCACAGTTCAGGTAAATTAGGCCATTGCCAGGGCTGGTCTAGAATTTGCATGCTCATATTACATCCTAAGCCTCAGTCCAGTGGCTGGGTCTTAAGGGTAGGATGTGTCAAGCCCAAGCTGGGGTGTAGGGGGGTGGTACTCCAGCCTTCAGGTGTTGTGGTGGATACCAAGGTTGTAGCTGGATGGAACCAGTATCTGAGGAAGTAAGGTAACCTTATAGCCACTGCTGAAGCAGTTCCTGCCCTCGGCTAGTCATACATAGCTGGATTCCCAGGGATGGTCCACATCAGACTTTGGTTTGGCACTTTTTTTTTTTTTTTTTTTTTTGAGACAGGGTCTCACTATGTAGTCGAGACTGACCTGGAACTCACTATGTAGCCCAGGCTGGCCTTGAACTCAGTGATCCTCCTGCCTCAGCCTTCTGAGTGCTGGGATTACAGGTGTGTGCTACCACGCCCGGCTCTGGTTTGGCACAGTTAAGTCTTTATGTACCAATGTTGTTGCCAGAGTTGGGTTCAGCCCCCTACCTTCCAGTAGATTTACATATAACCCACCCTCTTTCCCTCAGAAAAGGAGGCCAGGCAACATAGCAGAGGCCCAGGATGGGGGAATGAAGGGGCCAATTTAATGAGAAACTACAAACCGAGACCAGGCCACAATTCACAGTGATGGGAGGCCATGCAGTGGCAGTGCGAGACCAGGAGAGGGTCAGCCATAGGACACAGTGTCCATGTGGGCAAGTTCACAAACTATTCAGGAAGTAAAGACAGATTTGGGTTGCACCCAGGGCAAGGCTGCTGTCTACTAGGGTACTCTTAGCACTTGTGCCTGCTCCTTTTTCATCCCCAGCCCACTGCCACAGCTGTTCCTGCTGGAGTGCCCCAATGCAGGGCACAGTGACGGCAAGTCAGTTGGGGCTAAGGGCCAGCACTTACTGAGAAGAGAACTAATGGAGAGGGCACTGCAGATCCCACTACCCCTACAAGGAGTTCCCTCATATATGCCATCTGTCCCAGCTGGGACACAACAGCAAGTGGGAAGAGGCTGCACCCACACACAGTGAGAACAGGGTACACAGGACAGGATAGGTTTGTGGGCATTCCTTCTGGACCCAGAAAAATACAGGGGTTCTTAGAGATGTCTCCGGGGGGGGGTCTACACACTGACTCAGAGGGAGTTGCGTGAAGGCGAGTCCCTCTTGGCTACCTTACACATGGACCGGGAATTAGGAATTCCCGGGTTTCCATACCTGAGAGTTCTGAGGGCCAGAGTTGGCAGTCACTACTTCTGTCATGCCCTGTCTCTGGCACTGCAGAGGCACAGCATACACCTTAACAAACCCAGGGCTTAACTCTGTCCATCTGGGGTCCAGGCCAACTTCAAACAATGCCTTACTCTTGGCCCAGCAGATCAGAAACGACTGCAGCTCCAGGTACGGCCCACACTGGTAATGCCCAGCCTGGGACCCACTACTATTCTGGCAGCTTTTGGTCCCAGGGAGAGTGAGGACCAAGTCTGGACCTATAGAGAAAGGAGGAATGGGAACCCCAATAGGAGACCCTTCTCAGCTTATCTTCTGGGTCACAGATGTCAAGCAAACCAGGAATACACAAGCTCAGTGCCACCCCTACCCCCCACCCTCCGCCACCCATGGTGGGCCCTTGGCCTTAAATCCAACAGAACTTTTGCTGGAAGAGTCAGATGCTCAGGTTAGGGCAAGGCAAAGAGGACAGGACTTTTAGGGGATGGTGGCACAGCTTCCTACCCCAAGTGAGGGGGGAACTGACCACTGAACGCAGGGAGCAAAGCATGGGGCCAGACTGACAGGCAGGTGAGTCCAAGTCTGGCTCCGTCAGCACAGACGCTTGTATGTATAGATGTAGGCTTTGCAGCTGGGGCATGTATGTGTCACATCCTTGAAGTCATTGATGAGGCAGGGGATCAAGCAGCAGCCCAGATCACACCTGAGGCAGAGAGAGAGAAACAGGCTGAGACCTGAAGAGAGCAGCAGAGAGGTCCCTGCCTTACTTGCATCCCATACCTACCCCATGAAGCAGCAGAAGAAACCCAGCACGAAGTTCATCAGTCCAATCTCATAGGAGATCTTGGTAGTGATGGCTTGCTGGCAGTGCGGACACACAGTCTGCACAGGTGCACCTTCAAAGATCTCTCCCTGCAGTACTGTCACCGTGGTGGCAGCCCCTGAAGGGACCAAGACTGTGGCCGTGTGGCCCCCAGGGCCAGGATAGGGCCCTGGTGGGTAGGGTCCTGGGGGGTAGTATCCCATGGGTGGGTGAGGTCCTGGAGGAGGGTAAAAACCTGGAGCAGCACAGATGAGTAAAGAGGTCTTAGTACAGATTGCCTGCCCTGACAAAAGATGAGCACAAAGCCTGAAGCTCTAGCACCCAGAACACGGCCTGAAACTTTCTGCCATCCTTCTAATGGGGGCAGCCGAGTGCCAGTGGGAGTCTCTGGGGCTAAGGCTCTGGGTCAGGATGGTTGTTCAAATTTCCTAGTCCTTCATGCTCTGTACCCTGTGGGACCAAGACAGATTTGGCAGAGCTGGGAACATGGCCCACTGTTCACTTCTGGCATGCAGGAGCTGGGTGCTTAAGTGCCTGCAAGGATGAGAGAAAAAGAGCCTTGCCCTTCTCCAGCCCCTCTCTTGCACAAGATGACTCAATGCCCAGGTCAAGTCCACCTAACCCAGCAGCCTATGTAAGCACCACAGGCCCTTCTTGGGATGGAATGGTAACTCCAGAGAGCTGGTGAGCAGAATGCCAGGCCTACAGCACAGGCTTTACATCCTCGCCAGGGAAGAAGTTCTGTAGCGCTCATAGTCCTCAGCATGAGCTGCTGACTGAGGGGGCCTTCCCTGAGCTGGTGTCCTCCATCCTGACAAGCCCACTCACCCCTTTATTATGTCCACAGTCTGACCAATGTCTACAGTGAAGGCTGGATAGCTGCTATCCCCGTGCTCCCCTCAGGTCCCTTCCCAACTTACCTGGAGGCATGTAGGCGCCTTCTGCACCCACATGGGGCGGGACAAAGCCAGGCTGGGGCATTGGATGACCTGGTGGCTCATAAGGTGGGGGGCCAATGTCTGCAGGAGGCAGTGGCATGCCTGGTGGGGGCTGCATCACAGCCGGGGAGGTGTGGCCTAGACAGAAAAAAGAAAGGCTCAGACTCAGTACACAGGCTGGGCCAGAGGTCACTGTTTTAAGATACAAGGTGATCCTGGAGCAGAACTGGTTAACTAGAGGCCCAATGCCACCTAGGGAGGAGAAAAGAGGAAAGGCTATGACAGGGACCCTCAGGAGCATGATCCCTACCTGGGGTGGGCGGAGCTCCACTTTTCTCCTCCAGTAGTGGGGCTGTGGGGCCCCCAGGATAAGGAGGGGGTGGCTCATTAGACATTTTCACTGCTTCCCTTGGCTTGACCCTGGAAGGAAACCCAGACATGAATTCGGCTTCCAGCCAACCTGCTTCGCACTCACTTGGGCTGTGGCAATGGCCGCTGCACAACGTGTGTGACCATCAGTGGTGCACAGCTGAGCCTAAGTACTCGGTCACCTATGCTTCTTCCACAGAAATCTCCCTGCTTTGACTCAGGCATCTGAGCTGCCACCTCTACTTTCCCTCCACATAAATCTTCAACCTCTGGAAGAAGCAGGGCTGGTGGGCTGGACCTGAAGTCTTCAGAATCCCCATCACTGGGCTCCCTCTGGCACTAGGGCTGTTCCACGTTCACCAGGGGACCCCCAGCCCACAGCTACCACCATCTTCACCTCTGCCCGGTCACCCATATTTCTCTGAGGGGAGGGCCCAGTGAGTCCTGGGACCCAACTCTGTTTGGCACCTAGCTTCCCCACCCCCCATTTAGGAGATACAGGCAGCCATGGAGGGGCCAATCACTACCAGAGGCTGCTGTGGTCCAGGGGAGATTTCTTACCTCAAATCTGATACTCAAAGGGAGGCAGAGGAAGGTCCTTCAGCTGCTGGCCACGCAGGGGTCTGGGGAGCTGTTCAGGGAAAGAGGCAGCACCCTCAGACCAGGAGGGCTGCCATGTAGGCCCCGGGTACAACTCCTGTCACTGTGCCATCCACAGGCCTAACCACATTACCTCCCTGCCTGCCTCACAGGTCCACTTTCTCTCCTTGTGCCCTCCTGTCCCCATCAGACCCGATAGCCACTTCCCACACATGAAGGAATACAAAATGACCCATCCATGGGATGGCTAGTCCCCTTTAGGTTAGTTTGGGAATTGGGAAGGAAGAGAATCAGTTGAACGAAACACACTGCTTTATTTCTTTCACCAAATTCTTTGAGCACTTAGGCCCTGAGGGGAAAACAGGGAAGCTGGAAGTCTCCTTGTCTTCACTCTTACTTAGCATTTTAAAGGATCAACTATTAACAACATTTTGAAGTCAAAGTAATATGAACTAGAAAAAACAACTATACAACAGGATATACACTAAAAACACTCTCCTAGCACAGCGCCACCTAAAGCCCTTATAGTCCAATCATACAGGTAGGTCTAGTTCTACAACAGAACCTGGGGTTCATAAATTAAAAATTAAATTACATTTTAAAAAAATCAGTTGTAGGGCCAGAGGGACCCAGACCAAGATCTCAGATTCAACTAAAAGAAGCATAACAGTTTTACCGGGTGTGGTAGCACATGCTTGTAACCCCAGCACTGAGGAAGATCATGAGTTTGAAGCCAGCCAGAAGACCTTGTCTCAAAAAAATTTTTTTCTTTGAAGAAAATATAGGCATAAATTTTCATGACCAGCATCAAAATTAAAAACTTGTGCTCTACAGGACACTATTGAGATTTACAAGCCATCTATCTGAAAAAGGATTTATATTTAGAATATATAAGGAGCTCACAACTCAGTAACAATTTTTTTTCCCCAGTATGGGAATCAAACTCAGGACTTTGTGCTTGCCAAGCAGATGTGACACTGCTGAGCTCCATCCCTGGCACCTAACAAATCATTTTTAAATGAGCAAAAGATATGGATAAATATTTCTTGAAAGATAAATGGCCAAAAAACATATAAAACATGAGCACCTTTTCTAAGGGAAATGAAAACCAAATCCAAAATTAGGCATGGGTCCAGCATCTATAGTCTTCAGCTTCTCAGAAGGCTGAGGCAGGGCTCAGTTTGAAATATCCAGAGCATGTCCAAATAAAATCACTCACTAAAACTTGGGCTGGGGGTACTGGTAAAGTACTTGCTTAGCATATGTATAGCCCTGGACTTAATACCCAGCCTACACACACACACACACACACACACACACACACATGAGACACATTTTACAGCAGGAGGTTCACTGAGTAGGAGGCTGGCCTGAGCTACATAGTTGAGTTCAAGACTGGCCTGAAGTAATAGACCCTGTCTAAAGTAAAAAATAAATAATAATTTCTTGAGTCTTAAATTCCTATTTTAATCCATTTTTTTGGTCTGCACTATGGATGCTGGGAATACTATACTCAGCCCTCGCTAAAGCAGTGTGCCCACTGGTTAGCCCAGAGAAGTGGCTTCTACTGTAGAAGCTACCGGCCCCTGAAAGAACAGAGGTATTTTCCAGAAGCTTAAGTATGGACAAACAATATCCAGAAACATGTGAGGTGCAGGTTCCATCCCAGAGTAGAAACCCTATAGATTAAACTGACCAAGGAGCTGTGTTGCCTCAATGGCATTTTCAGGTGGAGGCCAGGTCCTGAAGGAATGGGTCTGGACTTTGCCAGAATAGGATGCCCTACCCTAGTGCAGGTCCACCCTGCTTTTCCAAGAGTGGACCACAGGGGCAGGACACAATCTGCCACCCTCTGTTCCCAGGCACAGGACCAAATACTTTTGTGTAAAGCCACCCTCATTTTCCACACCCAGTGTACTGACAATATCCAGATCTTAAATATCATCTGCTGCTGAGTCTGGCCTAGCAGCATAGATGGTGTTGAGGCCTGCTAGGTGCAGGTTCCATCCCAGAGTAGAAACCTCAGCTTTGCATCCCAAAGACAGAGCCCAAGCCTTGCTCTTCCTCACCCCTTCACATAACTCTGCCAGCTGGTGTACACTACACCTTCACTCAGCCCAGCACACACTGAGCAGGGTATGCTCCGCCTTACTGACACACAGAGGCTCTTGCTTCAGGGAGCTGACAGCTGGGGATGTTCCCAGGAGTGAGGATGGAAATGACATTTTGAGTCAGGTGGTGGAACCACTGAGCTAAATCCCCAGCCCTGGAAATGACATTTTGAAATGCCTGTGGTGGGTTTTAGAGTACACTATAGGGCCATGAAATGAAGCAAAATTGCCACATTGCCCCATTCTTCAATCCCAGCCACAAAGAATGTGACTCAGCTGAGAGAAAAACACAGTCTTCTAATGTGGAACTGATGTGAAACTGAACTTAAGACCCTATCTCCCTCTCCCAGTGAGAGGAGAAAGGACCAGCCCACATCAGGCCACTAGTGAATGAAATAGCAAGAATGGACAAGTGTGAAGCTCTGGAGCTAGACAGACCTGGCTTCAAATCTAGGACCTCCGACCAGTCAGCCTCCACTTTCCCATGTAAAATGATCCTAGAACACCTGCCTCCGAAGTCATACCCCAGTAGGCCCCTCTTTTTGGGGGAGAGGGGTGCTGCTTATTAGGAGGGATAAAAATGTAGAATTAGATCACAGTGATTGTTGCATAACTTTTTGAAAGCACTAAACTCTACCTGACAGGGAGGTATTCTGAGAAATGGAGCGTTACGCAATTTTGTCATTGTGCTAAGATTATAGATTATACTTATACAAATTTAAGATGGCTATGACATCACTAGGCAGTATAATCTTATGGGACCCCATCATATATGCAGTCCATCAGTGACCAAAACATTATGTATTGAAACATATTTGAAAGTAATACAGTTCCTTACAGGACAGGTCAATGAAGAACAGCTTTGACATGAGGGGGCAAGGACAGAAAGGGAAAGGTCCCCTGCTTTTCAGAGAGCAGCTCCAAGCACAAGGCCTCAGGTCCCTGGGAACTGCCTCTGATGTTTTGTTCCATTCCCAAATATTCATTATTCACCGCAAATACATTGCAATCCAAGGCCAAAGGCAGGCCAATGGGCAGCAGCCTGCCTGCCACTGCAGGGCCCCTTGGAGGGTAACAGCAGGATACACATCTCCAGGCTAGTCACTGCTGCAAGGTCTGTGGGCAAACGCAATTCTCTAGTTGAAACTGTCCTAATGCACTGCAATTATGGGTGCCAGCTGGGCACTGATAGTCTCTTCTGCCTCTGAGTACCTGTCAGCAGATAAATTTCTGTGGAAGACAGCCAAAGAGAAGGAAGCAGCATGATGAAGCTTGAGATCCACAGTGATAGCCAGCCTGGTTGGCCCTAGTGGGCTCTCCTGGAGACAGTACAGACACTGGGGGGACAAAGCAGAAAGGTGACAGAGAGGACAGGTCCATAAGGACTTCCTGACACTAGTTTCCCCAGGGCCTGCCAGAGTAGTAGTTCTCAAACTTTTTCTTTTGTTTTTGGTACTGGGGATTGAACTGGGGTCCTTGCACTTGCAAGACAGGCGGCAGAACCACTGAGCTAAATCCCCAGCTTTTTGTTTGTTTTGTTTTGTTCTAAATTTTGTTTTTGATACCGGGGATCAAACTCAGGTCCTTGCGCTTGAGAGGCAGGTGGCGGAACCACTGAGCTAAATCCCCAGCCCTTCAAATATTTTTAAATCAGGACTCATCTACACTTCATAACTAAGGACCTCAAATCGATTTTGATTCTGTGGGTCGTATACATCAATGCACTAGAGATAAAAAATGAGGAATTAAAAAAAATCATTCAGGATCTGGGGCATAGCTCTGTGGTAGAGGGTTTGCCTAGAATATGCAAGGACCCAAGTTCAACTCTCAGTAACACCAAAAAAAAAAAAAAAAAAGAAAAAGAAAAAAAGGGACAGTTACAAAAATCACATTGTTGGTATCACCACCAGTATCATCAGAGGAGTATATTGTGAGGCCAGGCGTGGTAGCACACGCCTGTAATCCCAGCAACTCAGGAGGCTAAGGCAGGAGGACTGCTGTGAGTTTGAGACCAGCTTGGGTTACATAGTCTCAACTACATAGTGAGACCCTGTCTCCAAAAAGAAAAAAAGAATAGTATATTGTGAAGTGGACTGTAGTAGAGCACTTGCCTAACATGTGAAAGGCCTGGGTTCCACCATTAGCACTGGAACAACAAAAAAAGGTTCTGATCCCCAGCCAAGAGGTCTCGGGACACCCCCCACGCACACTGCAGATCACATTTTTTCTTTTTTTGTACCAGGGATCGAACTCAGGACCTTGCGCTTTCGAAGCAGGTGGCTGAACCACTGAGCTAAATTCCTAACCCTGCAGATCATGTTTTGAGAAGAGCGCACTAGAATGTAAATGAGTATAATACTAACTACTCAGGGCTCCTAGCCAGAGGGACCAACAGTGGCCTTAAGGTCCCTTTTGGGGAGGCTGAGCCTGTTGTTCTACCTGGGCCATACTCCAGGGAGGTGCTTGCTGCAACCTAGAGACTTTAGAAGCCAGCCATCAAGACATGACGCTGGATCAGCCAGATCAAATCCAGCTCAATAACTTTCTAGCTGTGTGACGCACGAGCCTCAGGTTCCTCATCTGTCTACCTCTCAGGGTAGCAATGTTTAAAAGAGTGTAAGGTAGGCGTGGCAGTACATGCTTGTAATTCCAAAACTGGGATGCTGAGGCAGGAGAAATGCTGTGAGTTTGAGTCCATCCTGGGCTACATAGTAAGTTCAAAGCCAGCCTTGACTACATAACAAGACTGTCTCAAAACAAAAAAAAAAACCCAGAAATGTGCAGAACTCCCATTGCAAGTACAAAGGGCTGGCACGCAAGAACACTAAACAAATGGAACCTGTTACTATTTGAATGACCACCATCAGGGGCAGATCTGATCCCAAACAGGGACCGCCAGCTTCAATTCCAAAAGGAGTCATTTGGCTCAGCCCCAGTGTCCCTGGGGGGCTGTTCATTCCCAGCACAGCTGAGGCCACACCTATAGACAACTCTTTGCAAAGGCAGAGATACTAACAATCCTCAGAGGGTCAACTCTCCTGTCAAACTATTTTTCTTGGACTTGTGGGACCTGACTGGAGGTCAGCAATGCCTCCAGGAAGGCATTTCACCTAAGCTGTGGTGGCACGGAGGCCAGGCAACAGCTGCTGCAGAGCAGCCTTTCCCAGGGCTTGGCTGATTGCCACTGCCTCCCTACATGAGCTTCTCCCTGGCACCAGGATGCCAGCTGGCCCCAGAAGGGCTCCTCTGTCCCCAGGAGGCAGGTCCCAGGCATCTGGCTAGAAGCAGGGCTTTCTGCTTTGCTGGGGAAACTGAAAGGCAGCTATGAGACTTGCTCACAGCCTCCCATCAATTGAACAGAGGAATCCACTGAGAAATGGGTAAGGCGACCATGTGGCATGAAGGGTCACTGTGATAGGCACTGTTACCTGTAAAGGATGGCTTCTGACTCTGAGCACATGTAGCTGTTGTCTGTCCTGTTCTCCCAAACAAGCCTGTGATGAGCTTATGTATAATCTGCAGTGGCCACTTAAAGGAGATCCAGGGAAGGGTAAAGTGGGTGGGAGCAATACTTCCTCTTATGACACTGAGGCCACTGTCCCTGGCTGCCAAGTCAAAGGGCTGGCAGGACTTGGGAACCCCCAACCAGTACTGGGGATCAAACTCAGGATCCTGCACTTTCAAGGCTGGTGTGGTACCACTGAGCTAAATACCCAGCCCTTTTTTGGGGGGTCGGGTGCGGGGTGGGGGTGAGGATCCATGTTCCATTTTCCTGATGATGCAGCAGCAGTATAAGAGAGACAGTGCCTCCTCAAACAGCATCACTGACGGCCCTAAAACATTTTTTTATTTTTGTACTTGAATCTTAAGTGTATCTGATGCTTGGAAATTCCAAACACATTAAGACACAGGAAGCACCAGAAAGCAGAATTGGCTTTCCCATCTGTCTGGTCTCCTCCCACCTAGTCCAGCATGTGCCTGTCTCCTGATTAGTCTTCCAACTCAACAGAGCCAATACACCAGCCTAATTCATCCCCTCCCCACCACCAAGAGACCAGAGCTATGTAGTACAGATAGAGCTACAAGGGACATTTAGGGCCCAGGTATTAGGTCCTGGCCATCTGACTTTTCAGTCTGTTTTCTCATCTGTAAAATGGCAGCAATAGTCCTGCCCCAGAGCCGGAATGAGGCATAAAGGGTTGTGTATGAAGAGTACACAGCTCAAAGCCTGAATGGTAGTATTCAGTTAGTAAAAATAATGTTGTTATTTGTATCTATGAAGACACAAACAGCATGAGAAAGTACAAAAGAAAAAAAGAATACGCTAGTTTCTATTAGGCAGAAGAAAAATTAAAAGGCAGACAAGACTAATGGTTTCTAGGTTTTGTTTTTCTCAGTATTGGATAGAAGCCAGGGAGTGCTGAGCTACATCCTTAGCTCTTCTTTTTTGAAATTTTGAGACAAGGTCTTGCTAAACTGACCAGGCTGGTCTTAAACTTACATCCTCTTGGGCCGGGGATTTAGCTCAGTGGTGCCACCGCCACCTGCCTCACAAGGGCAAAGTCCCGAGTTGGTTCCCTGGTACAAAAAAAAAAAAAAAATTGCATCCTCTTGCTTCAGCCTCCCTGAAGCAAAATACTAGCAGATAGTATGGGCATACACCACCACGCCTGGCCCAGGACTAATGGTTCTAAGTTTAAAAATAGTAAGATTTCTAGGAACCATGATAGCAACACTGTACAATTTGCATTATGCTAAATTCTCGTTAAAGCTCTTGACAAACTGTTACTCTTTCACTCTCTGAGACCCAGTGTCAAATGGAGGAACCACAGCAAAGCAGGTTAGTCCCACTTTTCTGGAGGACAGTTGTGTTATCTATGCATTCTTTTGGATTCTTAATGCCCTTTCAAGGTACTTACCCTGGAGATAAAATGGACATGTGAGCAACAGTTCCTGTGCACAGGTGTTTAATGTACATCACTGTCTTGAAGCCAAAGGGACAGTTAAACCCACTTGGTCTACCAAGTAATCATTTCCTGAAAATGCCACAGATATACTTTTTACTGTCATGGAAAGATGGCCTCGATGCAGCACTGAGTAAATGAAAGATGTAAAGGCAGTATGTGTAGCATGATTCTACTTTAGTTTTCTTAGGGTAGTGAGATTTTGGGTTCTTTATAGATAAACACAAATACAGAAGCTCTTTGTGTAGTGCCTAGTTTTCTAAGATGAGCAATTCCTTTGACTCCTTTCTCAAAATGCTCATTACAATTAAGATAAATTATGTTATTCCTTAACCCACAAAAGATGCCTCAGACTACAATCTAGTCTACAGGAAAAAACGCTCAATGAAACAAGCCTAAGGGCTGGCTATCCAGCAGTCCTCCCTCTTAGAAGTCTGTGTAAAAAAGCCTTTCTGTGTAATCCCAGCACTTAGGAAGCTGAAGCAAGAGGACTGCCACAAAGTGTAGGCCAACCTAGGCTATGTAGTGAGTTCATAGATAGCCTGAACTATAAGTGAGACCCTGTCTTTTAAAAAAAAAAATCAGTATAAGTAGTTGGCAGAAGGTCTCACTTGAGATCAATAGCATGAATCCTGTCTCCCTTCCAAATCACCTTGCAGTACTCCAGGCAAATTAAAGATACAAACCTGTCAAGTCACACTAGTCTCAGAGACCCTACCTGGAGAACTAGTAGGAGGTCACCAGCAGAAGAGGACAGATAAGCAAATCCTCATGGGACACCTGATACAACCAAGAGTGATGAGGTTACTGAGCTTACTGAGGCCATGGCTTGAGCCACCTGAGAATAGAGCCCACCTTCAGCCTACACAAGCTCCGGAGCTTGTTTCTGCATGTTTTGCTGTTGGTGCATAACACAAGGAAAAAGGGGAAATGAGGACCAAAAGCCAGGAAAACAGCTATAGCTGCAACCACAACTAGTGAATAAACAAGTCATCAGCACCTGTTGTACAGGCAGGATATGGTAACTGAGAGCTGCCTAATTTTAGAATCATGAGCCTAAAGAACTATCACTTCAGCAATCAAAATGGAGCCCTAAAAAAAAAAAAAAATCTTAACTCCATATGCAATGAGTTGACCCAAATGGATAGTCTTTGGTTCATTATTTAACCAGCTGTGGCTGGTGAGATCATCCTAGCCGGGTGTGGTGGTGCACGCCTGTAATCCTAGCACTCGGGAGGCTGAGGCAGGAGGATCGCTGTGAGTTCGAGACCAGCCTGGGCTACCTAGTGAGTTCCAGGTCAGTCTTAACTACATATTGAGGGGGGAAAGGAAACTTAAAAAATATGAGAAAATGAAAAAATGGAAATAAAGTT